CTCTTTGGGGTGTGTGGCGGCCTGGCTCAGACCACTCCCTCGGGGGTTTTTCTTCCAAAGGGCACTTGTAGGCTTGGGGGCTGCCCTGCATTCAAGGACAGCAGGAAATCCAAACCGCAGGCATTTCTTCTCCCTGGAAAAGGTGACTGGAAATGCCTGGAGTGTGACCCTTCTGGAAGGTCCAGGCTCCAGGGCTCCACCCTCAGTCAGTGGAATTACCAGGCTTCTAACCCCTGGGACAGAGCCAGACACCAGAGCCCCTGCTCCAGCCCCACTGTGTCCAGAGCCTGTCCCAGCTGGGGTCTTACAGTAGCTTGCTGGGATGCAGCAGTACAGGAATGAGTGTCCCATATCTGAGGAAACCGAGGCCCAAGGCCCAAGGTCACGCAACGAGTCACAGCAGACCTGGGATTTGGCTGGAGGTTGGTCTGACCTCCACGATGTCCGTCTGTCATAGAGCGGGGCGTGACAGACCGAGTAGAGGCCAAGTACAGTAGGACCCGGCCACAGTGAGCAGCCGCGCCATGCAATCTTTATCTGGCCCCCATGTCAGCAGAGACGCCCTTCTGAGAATGACCGGGAAGAGACCCCAGAGTACCTGGGTGGGCTATGAGTTCATGGACTTCCTGGTGCCAAGAGTCCCAGTGAGGCACCACTCCCTACTATGTGCCTGAAACCATTCTCTGCCCTGAGAACAGACATAACACATAACATAACAGTGAGCAGGACCGGTCTGGCCCTCGAGGGGGCTCTGCTGACTAGGAATAAAAGTTCTGACTTGTGACTTCAATGCCGGGGCAAGGAACTCCCAACCCCCGAGCCGGTTGGCTCATCTGCAAAGAATGAGGATAGTAACAACTTCCCACAGGGTTGTGGATCAGAGATCCCAGGCCTGGTGGCCCTGGTTATCGCTCAATCATACGCCTCAATCTGCCTCTGCAGCTCAAACCCAGCTGAAGGCACCTGAGGCCCAGAGAAGTGCAGTAACTTGCCCAAGGTCACACAGTTATATCCCTGGCAGAGGACTCAACCCAAGCTCCTTCCTGCCCCTAGGCACTCACTGCTTCTCTGCTAAAGGATCCCACATGGGTCTGGGGCAGAGAAGTCTTAACAGGACAACAAAAGGCCTGTAGGCAGTGCGTAGGCCCACCCCACCCCACCCCACCCTACCCTCACTCTGGGCCTGGAGACTAGTCAGGGAAGCCCGCTGGGCCAGTGGAACCATCTGTGGAGACATGGCCACCTGGGCCAGCTCTAGGCTCAGCAGTGGAGAGAACCAGTCTTGGGCACCATCGGCTCTTTGCAGAAATCTGTTTAATGGTTTAGGAATGTGTACATTCTGGCTCTGCCGTTTCCATAAAGGCAACTTTTCCATGTTTCAAAAAAAAATAGATTTGCTATAAAGATTTATGTATCATAAATAGGAAATGTGAAAAATCCCCCCCAATGCAAACAGCATCCTTGGGCTTAGCGGAGGCCCTCCCCACGGCCCAGTGGTCCAGGCCAGCGGGGTGTAGAGCGTCCGAGGCCCCAGCCCTGGCAGCCCTCCTGGGAAAGAGTAACTGAATTCAATATGAATTAGGAGCTTCCTCCAGCTCCGTGCCTTCTGGGGCCTGATGTCCTCGAACCCCTCTTCTGGAAGGACAGGGCCCCACCTCTCCGGTTTGGTAATCATGATCCGTGTCCCTTGTCTTCTTGCTCTTCAGCCCGTGTCGCACTGGCCGCACCCCCGACCACAGAGGGTGCTCTCCCCGGGCCTGCTGGCTGCCAGGACACTTCCACACCCTCTGTCCCCTGCCTCCTCTCCCACACCCTACCCCCTGCCCCGACCTGTTCCTGCTCTTGGGCAATTTATAAACAGAGAAAGAGTTGAGGCTCTCTGGCCCCAGAAGCCCCAGGCCTGCTGCGGGAGGAAACCGAGGTGGGTTGTATTATTTCTCAACACTTCCCCACTTTCTCGTACCCAAGTCCGGGTCCCCATGTGACAAAAGATGGAGATCCAGGAGACGGTGAGGCCCCTGCCCGACAGGGCCCTACAGGCAGGCAGCCCAGCCGGTGTGCAGTCAAGGCCACACCAGCATTGGGCCCTGAGCACGAACATTTGTATCTGGGCCTGAAGCTTGTAAATGGTCTCTTTGAGCCTGTAGGAAATGGTTCCCGCTGAGGCAGAGGGTGACAAAGAACTCATTCTTTGCCAAGGGATACTGTGAGTAAGGGACCAGCTTGGGGTGGGGCCAGTACTCAGAGGTGTCCAAGTGGGTCATTTGTGGGACTCTAAAAGACACAAATAAAGGCTGGGTGAGTGGGTGAGTGGGTGGGAAGGGGCGGCCTGGACAGAGGGTGCTCCTAGGGGACAGAGTGCTAGGGAGAAGCCAGGGCAGAGCTGTGGAGGCCATGGGCATCCAGATTGAGCCTGGACCGTATCCCGAGGGTCCCTGGTACCCCAAAAGGTGAGAGGACAGCATCAGTATGACCTTTTACTACTGCCACGCTGAGTGTAGCAGGAGGGTGCCTCAGGCTGCCCAAGCTAGAAGCCCAGGGGCCCAGGTCCATGAGGTGTGCTGGGGAGGCCGGGGCCTGTCCAGAACAGAGGCAGGGGGCAGAGTGAAAGTGGGATCCTAGCACTGTGCTAGGGTAGGGAGAGAGAGTGAGGAACCTAAGACAACCCCTGGATTTCTAAGCTAAACCCCTGGAGGCCGTGGTGGCAAGACACCCTGGGACTGAGAAAGGCAGGAAAGGGAAGTGTTTTCAGTGTTGCTAGGTGAGCTAAAAGCTGCCAGTGGGCAGAAACCTCCCTGGTCCTAGCTGGGCCGGCTGCTCTCTTCCCTTCTCGACCAAGCCCCTGCAAGGTTTTGGCCTCTAACCCTGGGGTCTGGAGCAGGAGGATGGTTTATAGTCCAAGCCCCTGTGACCAGCCAGCTACCTGTTGCTGTGCCTCCCCAGGGCGTCCCTGTGAAGGATGTGGAATGGAAGGGCCTCCCGTGTTCCATAGCGATCCAGCCCTGAGGCGCAGAGAGATAGCAGGTAACAAGGGGCAGGATCCGTATCTGGGCTCAGCAGGAACTGAGGCTGCAAGTCAATCATGGGAGTAGGCCCAGGCCTGCACTCCAAGGCCCCCTGCACCCTCGCCAGCGCCCCCGCAAAGCAGCAGGTCTTTGCAAGGTCAGGCTTCCTGAGATTTCTCTTCCAGCCTGCACAAACATCACCCCCCTAGCAGAGGTCATGGAGCGGAAGACCTCTGCCCTTGGCCTGAATGTGCATTAGTCACAGACACATTCTACTTTGCAGGTAGAGCCCAGGCACTGTGGTGAAGGGGCCCGGCAGACACCAGTTCTTCCTGCCAGCGGCTGGGCTCCAGGACTCACTCACCCCATCCCACTGGCAAGGCCACTGAGGAAGGAAGCCAGGTGGCCTTCTTGCTCTCAGGTACCACCCCACCCGGCCACCAGTGGGCTGGTTCCCCTCAGTGCAGGCCCCTGCTCAGTAGCTCCTGGCCCAACCAGACCACATCCTTCCTCTCCAGAACCAGGCTCAGCCAATCCCAGGGCTGCCTCCCTGCCTGAAAGGGAGTCACCAGCCCTGCTTGTCTTGGTCTCGGCCAGGGAAGCCTTCCATGCCCGATCCTGCTTCACCAGACTGCTGTGGGTCTGGCTGCTGCAGAAGGTCTGCTTCTGGCTCTGCAGTCAGGCCTGCCTGTGAGAGGGGGTGACGACGGCCAAAGGACGGGAAGTAGAAGGCAAGGGAAGTCAGTTGGAGGCCTGTGACCCACCGCTGGAGGGCCGGGGCTGGGCCCAGGGCGCTGCCTGGGTTCTACATCCACGATGTGGGCTTGTGATATGCCAGATGGCTCTGATGGCAGTGTCCTTCCTGGGGCTCCATACAGAGGGGAACCTAAGGGACTAGATCGGGCTGACACGGAGGGCCTGGGTGGTACGGGAAGATCACCTGCCTCCCCCAGCTCAGTCTCTGTGATTCTCTGAACTACTCCCAGAGGCCGGTGTGCTTCCCAGAGCCCCCGGAGGAGGACATGGCCAGACCCAGAACTGCCAGGGCCTTGCCTTCTTTGTCCCAGAAACCACAAACTAGACTGGGAGCAGTGGGCGAGCTGTCACTCTACGGGTGGCAGGAAGAGCTTCTGCACAGGTCAGACTAGGCACCCCGAGGATCCCTCTCAGACCTTAGCCTCAGGGATGCCAGCTTTTACTTTTCCCTTAAATGTCCACATTCCTATTTCTTTCCCCCAACCCCCCAAGTTCTGAGAGTCGGTGCTGAACAATCGGCTGGTTTTGCAACCTGAGTGGCAAAACTTCGGGCCCCAGATCAGCAGACAGTCCCTGCTTGGCTGCAGGCCCTCACCCCATGCTCATGCCGATGCAAATAAGAAGCTACACGGAAAACGAGAAAACTTGAGAGGTCTTGCTAAGGCAGCAAGCCAAACCCCAAGCTATCTCTGAGCTTAGAGCTGGCAGTAAAGAAAGGAAGACGGTTCCTTGCCCAGAAGGAGCTAGGGCTTCCCTGGGGCTCAGGAACCAAGTCTGTCGGCCTGGCTGCTCTCATGCTCTGAGGCTCACGCACAGAGGCCCTGGAATGACTCCGAAGAACCCAATGCACCAGCTGCATCCCTGGAGGCAGCCACCTGACGCCATAGTCATAGCAAGATGCAAGGTGTGGAATGGTCAGAACCAGTCGGTGCTGAGCAGGGGAGGCACGTCCTGGCCCCTTCTCCTATGGTGGTCCACCCCGGCAGGCCCGGAGCCAGTCTTGGACTGTGAAGGACGCAGAGGGGACAGCCCCCAGCTGGTAGAATGGGCTCCACACCCGACACCCGGTATGATGCCAGGTCTCCCTCACAAGGTACCCGCTTCTTCCTTCCTTCCTCGAAGGTAGCCTTCCCATCAAGTACCCAGGCCACGGAATGGATCATTCCAGGACTTTATCTGGCTGCTCTAGAATCACTGGCGCCATAGAGGGCCAGCTCTGGAGGGGGGCCCGGCAGGCCAGAGAGAGACAGAGAGAAAGAGAAAGAGAGAGGAGGTGGGGAGGGCCCTGCCTGCCTGCCCTGTCCCCCGGTCAGCAGCCACAGCCCCAGCTCTCCCCGACGTCCTTGCTGTCCAGCTGGATGTGGTCGGTGCCCTTCTCGCTGAGCAGAGGGCCGCCATGCCTGACGACCAGCTCCGTGGCCACCCTCACGAAGGCCTCCTCCACGTTGCTCGAGTCCTTGGCGGACGTCTCGATGGCACACAGGATGTCGTAGTGCTCTGCCAGGCTCTGCGCCTCGGCCAGAGGGACCTCCCGGAGCTCGCCCAGGTCCGACTTGTTCCCTGCAGGGAAAGGCCGGGAGCGGCTAGGTGAGGCCCACAGGTGCCAGCAAGCCCTGTCCCCTCCCTGGCAGGGCCAAGCTGAGAGACCCCGGTGGCCCTGTCCGCCACCAACGAATACTATTTTGTGTGACCATCTCTTTTTTTTTTTTTAAGAAAACAAACAAAAAAGACCTTGTTAAATTTTAAAACGCTTATTTTAACCTTCCATCCCTCATTTTTTTTTCTCCTTTTTCTCTTTGCCAGAGGCTCACGTACTTTTTGCTTCCTCCTAACAAGTAGGAGCAGGAGAGTTTGGTGCACAGAACGTGGTACTTCAGAGCTGTGAGGAACTTCGGCTCCCCTGCCCTAGCTGTGTGACCCTCAGGTAAGTCACTCCATTCCTGAGAGTCAGTTTCCCCATCTCTGATGCCACCTTCAGCGAGGGAGGGGGACTGATGGTACATGGAGCAGGAAAACAGCTGGAGCTCACCAGGCACGCCCTATGTGGCCGTGTTAACAAGGAGATCAAGCATTGCCAGGTCTGTTCTTTGCTAACATTTTGTTATGCTTATTATCTATTCTCTCCTATTTTCCTTTGGAACTCTCTCATTCACTGTAAGATCGTGGTTTTCGATTATTTTGCTTTTCTGCACACCTCTGGCTTCTCCTACAAGCTATCAGACGTTTCATTATGTTCCTCAAAATCTGGTCAACTGCTCCTTGACCCAATTTCTAGAAGAATTCTTTTACATGGTTGACTTTTGTAATGTGACTATATGGGGAGGACCAAACAAACAAACAAAACAGAGAACCATCTAGAAAGATCTAAACTTTCTTTCGTAGCCTGAAATGATGCAGTAACCGATTTTAGTGTGGGGAGCTTACCTGGATCCTGCTTTCAACAAACTGGAAAAAAAAAGTACGCGTGATATTTAGGAGCAATGATAAATCTGAACGCTGATCAGCTACTGGATTGTATTATGAAAATATCAATATTTCTCAGATGTGAAAATGGGATTGTTGTTAGGTACTTTTTAAGTGTTTGTATCTTGTATCGATTCATGCTGGAATATTTACAGGTGAAATAGTTAACGGTGCTGGGATTCGCCCCAAAGCAAGACAAAGGAGGGGAAGAGACGAGGGTAGAGGAGAAACTGGCCATGGAGTTGCGCAGGCTGAAGCCGGGGGTTGGGTATTCGGGGTTCACTGCACTATTCTATTTTTCGTATTTGTATAAAACACCTCTAGGACAGGATGTTTTACTTTAAATGTTCTGGATAAAAGGGAAGTGTAAGGCCAGGTAAGGAGAACTCCACTCCGGCCTGGGGAGTCCAGCTCGGCCAAGCGCTCCCCCATCCCAGGCCAGGCAGGCTGGGTAGAACCAAGCACCACCCTTTCCCCAGATGGAGCGATGGTGAGGCCCCATCTGAACAACCTCATCTTGGAAGAAATCAGCCTGACAGTTGGAATGAGAACCCCAGGGACCACAAAAATGGTCCAAAGCTTCTTGGGCTCAGGTCTGGGAAGGTGATTTAGGAGGGAAAGGGAAAATGGCAGTAAGAGCAACAGAGGTTCTCAAAGTGGGGGTCCCTCGGGCACAAACATGGCACTACCTGGAAACCTGTGAGAAATGCACATTCAAGGGCCTGGCATCCATGTTTTCACAAACTGCAAAGTGATCAGGAAGCACAGAGATGGTTGAGAAGCCTTGCTCTGCAGTGCAGTGTGACAGCAAGTCACTGAATGATGACTGGCAGAGCTCAGGCTGCCTATTCATGAGCTCACAGGCTGCATGGACTGGGATAAATTACTTCACTTTTTTGAGCCTCAGCTCCAGCCCCTGACAAACAAGGAGTTGCCGGGGTTACGGGAACTAAATCCAATGACATCCATGAAGCTTTAACCAGTGTTACCCACCGTGGAGATACCTGGTAACTGCAAAGTGAACATTAGCTCCCTTTCTTCCTCCAATTCCGATTTTGAATATAACTTATATAAGTGATAGGCAGCATGAGAATTTGGAAGATCACTGTTCCAGTTCTGGCTTCCTTCCTGCCTGGCCAAGTTCAGCCTCTCTCTGTGCTCCATGTGCTCTTTATTTAAAAAGGAGAAAGGACAGACAGAGAGAGAGACAAGATTCGCGGTCCTGAGGAACCCTCCTGGACCTGCCCTGTTCCCTGCCCCAGCTCACCAATCAGCAGCTGCACGATGTTCGAGCCTGCATACTTCCTCACATCCTCGATCCAGTGAGGCACTGACAGAAAGGAGCTCCTCTTGGTAATGTCGTAAGCAAGGATGGCCCCGTTGGCACTGCGGTAGTAGCTCTGGGTGATGGTGCGGAATCGCTCCTGGCCAGCTGTGTCCCAGATCTGCAGCTAAAGAAACAGGGGGCATCCTGTGAACCTGGTGGTGTGACCACGTGCAGGGGATAGGGAGGGCAATTCCTACAGACCCATGCCCAAAGCGCCGGTCCCATTGGGCAGGCCACCAGCCCACACCTTGGCAGGAATCACGCAAGTGGGGCTAGAAGGTGGACAGAGAGAGAAGGGATTTCTGAGCCCTTAGGAAACAACCCAGTGGCCCAACTTTGGGGGGACAGAAGGATGCAGAGGGAAGGCGGGGAGCCCTCATCTCTGCTCTCTAGAGTCCCCAGGGAGAGGTGGTAAGGTGACATTCTGCACTGCAGTAGGAAGTACATATGACCCAGGGTCCTCTGTGTGCCTTTCTCCCCTACACACCGGGCTCACTACTGGGAACAATGAACCAGAGGAGCTCCAGCAGCTCATGGTTCCTTCCAGGTGGGCTATGATGCTGGCTGAGTGTGCACATCCTGTGCCTTCCCCTCTCTGAGCCTGTAAATGCACCACTGTACCCAGCCATGTGGAAAGTTCCTCCAGCATTAGGGTTCTCTACTTTTACCTCAGTGATGCCCGGGAAGATGGCTCACAACCTGGTGGTGAGGGGGCCTGGGCTGTGGCAGTGAGGGCCCAGGGAGAAGCAGTGGATAGGGTCCTCCCGCTGGGCCTTGACCACCAGCTGGCCCAGCTTGGCCAAAGGCAAGAAACTTGGGGTCTTTCCTTGCCATGTCTTCACACTTAGCAAACATCCATCGGTGCCCATTGCCAAGCCCTCCTGGACAATGGCCATGGAGGAGAGGTGCCTGTGGGTAGTAGGAGCTCCCCTGGTTTCTGCAGAAGCAGAAGCCTGGCATGACAGACGCCAAATAGGGCAGGGGCAAGGGCTGCAAGCGGAGCAGACCTGGACCTGCGCTTTGCCCGGGCTGGGTGGAGATCATCAGCTCTGTGCTCGGAAGAGATGGGCTGTTGGGAGCCATCAGAGTGGGCAGATGCCAGGGTCCGTGGGGGGCTCAGGGTTTGTCTTCTCTGCTCCACAAATCACAGGTTCTTGGGGCTCTCTGAAGGTGAACATGAGCCTTTGATCTCCACCGAGCTGTGGTTCCATCCATCCTCTTTCACGGGCACAGGCACTCTAGGGGCCTCTTTATCTAGTTCACAAGGTGTGGGAGGCCCCCTCGTCTGTCCAGGATAGGGAAAAAACCAGAGGCCTCAGACAGTTCCTGAGGCCAGGGCTGTGGAAGGGACTGCCTCTTCCCTAGGCGCCACCGACAGAAGTTTAAGAATTAACAAACTCTGGGCCACAACATGCCCAGTGGAACCCTCCAGTCCTGAGAGCTCCTATTTACTCCTCAACTATAAAAGGCTCCAAGGAGACCAGGTGTCTGCTAGCTCACACATGGGGTGAAACCTGGAATCCAGATGACCAAGAAACTCATCTCCACACCCCAGAGGAGAGCACATAAGAGAGGCCAAACAAACACAGAAGAAAAGTGACTTGGACCAAACAAAAACTATACAGAGGCCAAGTTTTGTTTACCAAAGACAAACATCAGTATTTTCAGAGATAGGAAAAGATCGTAAAACAATAATAGAATACTATTTCTTAAAAAAAAAAACCAAAAAAAAAACAACAGTTGAGGGAGTATTCAGAAAAAGAAAACAGAGGGGCACCTGGCTGGCTCAGTTTGAAGAGCATGCAACTCTTATCTTAGGGTTGTGGGTTCAAGTCCCATACTGGATGTAGAGATTACTTAAAGATAAAATCTTAAAAAAAAAAAAAAAAAGAACTTTTGATAATTAAAAACAGAATATCAATGGAAAATGCAACCTAAGAGTTGGAACATAAAGTTGAAGAAATCCCACCAAAATAAAGAAATACAAAGAGATGGATCAGAGAGGGAAAAAAATTGTAGAGCCAGCCTAGGAGGTCCAATATGGGAATACTAAGCATTTCAGAAGAAAAAAATGGTAAAATCAAGGGGAGGAAATCAAAGAGAAACTTCGAGAAAACTTCCTCTGGGTTGAAAGAGCCCACAAAGCACCCACACAATGGAGGAAAACAAACCCCACAAAACACAACATGTGGGAATTCCACAACAGTGGGGAAGGGGAAAAGGTCCTAAAAGCTTCCAGAGAGGAAAAGAATAAGAAAAAAACAGGTTTTAACATTAAAGTTTGACAAAATCCACATGGCATTAGATACTCAATGAAAAAAATGCCTCAAATTAGGAGAGAAAATTATTTCCAACCTAGAATTCTCTACCCAATTAATCATCAGTCGAGTGTAATGGTTTACTAAACACATTTTCAGATATAGGGGCCTCAAAAAATTTATCTTCCTGCCACCCTTTCTCAGGAAGCCACTGATGGTTCCTCTAACTAAAGAAATCAACTGAAAAGAAGAAGATGTGGGATTCCCCAAAACAGAGAATTCAACTCAAAAGAGAGGCATAGGGAACCCCAGGATGGTGGTCGAGGGAGATCCCAAGACAACAGCCGAGCAGCGAGCCTGGACATCAACCCGTCTGTAGCAGGCCACCGGGTTCCAGGCACAGTTCTCAGCTCTGGCAGAGTAATTACTGGCAGCTGAACCCTCCCCCGACAAACAACCACTAGACTGAGAAAAATATGGGAGGTTGCTGCTGTTTTCAAAATGTAAACAACAAGCAGCAGGAGACAATAATCCTGAAAGACGCAAAACTTCTAAGTTGCGTCTCCCATCACCATGACTCTCTACCCGGCGATGGCTTCCTGACTGCCAGACAGTGGGCTAGAACCCAAGCAAAGCAGGCTGGTCCCATGTGGCCAGGAGGCAAACAGATTCTGGAGCAGCTGATGGGACTGGAACGAGGAGCGAAGCAGGAGTGGGAAAGCCGAAAGTCTGGGTGTGGTGTGGGAGTCTTTGGTGAGTCCTTCCCTGAGGGATCCATGCACACGGTGGGACTACCAGAATTTTACCAGAGAGTGACTCTGGCTGGGTTGAGAAAAGACCAGAGATAGAGGCTGAGCAGTGCTAAGGGAATGCTGGTTCCAATCCAGTCATAATGAAGAGGCGTCCCTAGCACCTTGTTCAAAGTAACCTAGATAGTAACTGGAGACATCAGAAAGGCTGTCACCTACGAGTGAAGACCATGACCAGACAAAGGCCTCCAGATACCTGCCCTAACAAAGCCTAAAACCAAACACCAACATGAGTTTCAGGTTTGGAGGCTGACTTCTGTCAAGACAGAGAGGCTAGAGAAACATCCTTGGACTTCTACCTATCTGCCCTAACAAAACATAAAAGCAAAGCTACACAGGTTCAAGGTGTTTGGACAGCAAACTGAATTGACTATTAGGTCATGAATCAGTGGGGGTGCCTGGGTGGCTCAGTCCATAAAGGGTCCACCTTCGGCTCAGGTCATGATCTCTGGGTCCCGGGATTAAGCCCCACATTGGGCTTCCTGCTCATTAAGGAGTCTGTTTCTTTCTCTCTCACCCTCTGCTTCTCCCCACCTTTGTTCTCTCTCAAATAAATAAATCTTTTTAAAAAAATGTGGGGCGGACATGAATGAATACTCTTCAAAAGAAGAGAACAGAATCCAGACTCTCAATATAGCATCAACCATTATTTCTAGTGTATAATAAAAAATTGCTAAACATGCAAAAAAACCCCACAAAAAACCAAAAAAACCCTAAGAAAATTTGATTCACAAAGAAAAAAAAACAGTCAGTAGAAAATGATGCCAAAATGATCAAAATATTGGATTTTAGTAGGCACAAATATTAAGGCAGTTAAGTATGATCAGAGAATTAAAGGAAAATATGATTACAATGACTGGGCAAATAAGGAATATCAGCACAGAAATGGAAATTATTTTTTTAAACATATAAAAAAGAGTAGAAGTTCTAGAACTTAAAAGTACAATAAGTGAAGTAGAAAATTCATTCTGTGAGCTGAGCGGCAAAATGGAGATGGCAAACACACACACACAAAAAGAACTGGTGAACCTGAAGAAAAATCAGTAGAAATTATTCCCTCTGAAGAACAAAGAGAAAAAAAAATATTGAAGGAAAAGCAACGGAGGCACAGGGACCTGTAGGACAACATCATACACTTCCACAGTCACATAATTGCAGTCCCAGGAGGAGAAAATGCTGAGAATGTGGCAGAACTAATGACTGAAAATTCCAAATTTAATGAAAACATCAATTTCATGATTTAAAAAAAAAAAACCCTCAGCAAAACCAAGCAGAATACAAAGTATACCATGGGAGACTACAGCCAAACTGATGAAAACAAATGTAAAAGAGAAAAAATTTAAAGGAGTCAGAGAAAAAGATATATACAGGTAACAGTAACAAATGACAAATGACTTCTCTCCAGAAATAATGGATGTCAGAAGACAATGGTGAAAAGAGAAAAAAAAAAAAAGTACTGAAATAAAAACCTTTCAACATCAAAGTCTCTAACCAGGAACAAAATCTCTCTCAAAAATGAGAGTGGGGACGCCTGGGTGGCTCAGTTGGTTAAGCGGCTGCCTTCGGCTCAGGTCATGATCCCAGCGTCCTGGGATCGAGTCCCGCATCGGGATCCTTGCTTGTCAGGGAACCTGCTTCTCCCTTTGCCTCTGCCTGCCATTCTGTCTGCCTGCGCTCACTCTCTCTCCCTCTCTCTCTCTGACAAATAAATAAATAAAATCTTTGAAAAAAAAAAATGAGAGTGAAATAAAGACAATTTCAGACAAATTAAAGTAGAATCTCCCTGGGAGACCTGCACAAGAAATGCGAAAATATGTTCTCCAGGCTGAAGAGGAATGATACTAAATGGAAACTCAGATGTACAAAAGGAATGAGAAGCACCAGGAATGGTAAATAGGTAGGTGTATTCAAAATCTGATTTTTGTTTCTTATAACTGCCATATAAGACAACTAACCAAAAAACTATAAATAATGACTATAAGGTGGGGTTTATAATGTATTAGAAATAAAGGGGGACCTGGGTGGCTCAGTGGGTTAAGCTTCTGCCTTTAGCTCAG